GACATCATGTCTCCCCACAGACAACAGTGGTTGCTGTGTTTTCCTTCAAGGTGAACTGCATAATGGGTCTAGTTAGCATCCTGGGTTAATAATTACTGAGTTTGGGCAACTTGTGCAGCTGAGGCATTTTATAGAGATGGGATTTCAGGATAAGTGAGTTCCATTTTTGATTTCCTAACTTACCCTGTGTCTCTGTAGGTCAAGTTAATCATTTAAAACATAAACATAAAAGACCACAAATGTTAAAATAGAGCAATGTAAAGATAAAAATTGAACTATAGTATGTTTACAATGGAAATATTTGTTTCTTGTATTTTTCTAAATTCCTATAAAAACATAGATTACTTGTACAATTCCAGATATCAGCAACAAAAACTGGAAGGGAAAAATGATTAAAGTATTTCCCAACTGATATCTTTTCCTTCATCTGTAGTCATAAATGTGGCTTAATTGGTGACCAGAATCACAGGACCTAAAGTGGACTCATCTGAGTCCCAGTGATCTACCTCAATGATGCGTTAGTTAAGGAATTTAGTAAGTCCAGATGTAAGTAAGTCTTAGTGGGTCTTCTTCTATAGGAACATTGACCAGTGGCATAAATATGTCTAGGCAGGCCTCACATCTCAGATAAGAGTATAAGACTTAAAAATGATGACAGTAGTAGCTATATATGATAGGAATCTAAGAAACACCAGTCTCTTATCTGCTTTTATCCAGCATCTCACTGAGAGCATGTGCAAAGGACTTGAGCTTTATAGTTGCCCACTTATTTTGTTATTGCATATGGATCTCTTACTGTTTCACCGAAGTTCAGTTTTTGGAGCTACTCCCGTTCTGCATCTGTGTGGTTATGCCGATCTTCCTATCATTACACATGTGCAAATAGCCAAACACCCTAGAACCATAACCACTTACAGAAATGGTGTCACAATGACCTTGATAATGGAGCCTAATTAAGACACCCAGAGGCAGCCATACAGGTGCCAGGCTTTAGTGGGACAAATAAAGCAATGAAAAGAGTGTGCCTTTTTCCCAAATGATATCTCAGCAGGCCTGGTAAGGCTAGAAGCACTTAATAGTGAGGAGCACAATCGAGAAAACTATTGAAAGTGACATGAGAGTATCAGAGAAAGTTCTGGAGTGGACCCACCGGTCTAGGTCCCAGGTCATCTTCCTATTTCTATACACACTGAGTGTTCTTCACTTGCCGATGACATTAGATAATCTGTACGATTCACAGACTTTCTTTTTCACTTTTCAATTAGTTTCAAATCATTTGCCTTTGGAATGATTGGGACTTTGTTTTTTTAATCTGAAACCCTTAACTCTCAGTGATAATGAAACAATACAACATATATAGAGATTTCTAATTCCTCTTTATATATTTGTATTATATCTAGTTCCCTTTTTATTATTTCTGCTGAGCACTAATCATTCAGGTTACATTCACCTAATTCATAATGGACTTGGTCATTAGATAATTAGAATTTATCATCAATAACAGCTTTTCCTAGACTGTACCATCTATCAGATACTGTACATTACACTGGTGATCAAAGACATGGTGGTGTCAGACACCATTTCAATGGGATTCAATGTGTGTTCACCTTGGTGAATACTCTGATTCCTAATACAGTCAAGTGTCAGCTCTACTCATGAATGTGGGGTCTTGGTCAAGCCTATTAACCTTTATGATTCTTGGTTCTCATCTGTAAAATAGAAATTACCACCCTTCTAAGGGCTTATGTTAGGGGCAAATCAAACAATGTACAGTAGCCCCCCCTTAGCTGAGGTTTCACTTTCTATGGATTTAGTTACCTGAGGTTAACTTCAGTCCAGAAGCAGATGATCCTCCTTCTGATGTAGCGTCAGGTCAGTACTAGCCTCATGCCGTGTCACAATGCCTACCTACATCATTTGTCTCATTGCGTAGGCATTTTATCAATTCACATCATCACAGGAAGAAGGTGTTGAGAGAGAGACCACATTCACAAAACTTTTATTTCAGTATATTATTATAATTGTTCTTTTTTTATTAGTTGTTAATTTCTTACTGTGCCAAATTTACAAATTAAATTTTATCATTGTTATGTATGTATAGAAACAAACATAATATTTATAAGGTGTGGTACTATCTGTAGTTTCAGGCTTCCACTCTATATAGAAAGTATATATACTGTCTTGGAGTGTGTCCCCTTTGGGTAAGGGGAGACTGTTATACATGAAGGAGCTTTGAAAACTATAGACATATGAAATCGCTGTTACTCTTATTAGACAGGAAGATCTGTCACATGCAAACGACAAGTAGATAAAAGGATATATTGCCAAACTACAAGTCCAATAGTAAGCCAAGTCCATAGGTCATTCAGAGATCTCCGGCAGTGATTTTGTGACATGTAAATAAGGGGTGGCTAATAAATATGAGAAGCTGATACATGCTCTGATGAAGGCAACACAGTGCTGGGCACAGCTGGAGCCCAGTAGCTATCTGTGGAACTGAGCAGAATGGAGTCTTAAAGAAATGAGTAGAAATTGGACAGTCAGCAGTATTGTGGATGGACATCCCAAGCAAAGGTATAGCACCAAAAGTGCTTTGGGCAGTGGAGAAATTTTAAAAGTTTGGTGAGGCTAGGACATGATTGTATGAACTGAAAATTGATGGGAGATGAGGCTGAAGAAGTAAACAGGGGCCAGAGCGTGAAGGGCATTGTGTGGTATGCTGGCCTTCACTGCCCACACTGAAGGTCATGGCAGACATTTGAAGAGTTTCAATAAAAGAGTGATATTTTCATATTGGCCTTTTAGAGTGACTTAACTGATGGCAAGTATACTATGGGTAAAAGACCAGGAGCATATTATGGTGGTCCAGGCAAGAGATGGGCAGGTTTGAAATAAGTAGTGGCCAGTGGTGGATGGAGATCAGGAGACAGAGTCAAGAGGGACTTGTAAGGCAAAATTTCCAGGATTCTGTGTGACTTGGTGTGTGTGTGTGCGTGTGTGCGTGTGTGTGTGTGTGTGTGTGTGTGTGTGTGTGTGTGTGTGTACAGGGATTGGGACAGCTCCCAGGCTTCTGCTTTGGATGACTGACATTTGGATGGAACCATTAACAGGGACAAGGTAGATAGATGGAGAAAGTCCATAAAGAAGAGCATAAATTACATCCAAATCTCTTTAAGAAAACACAGCAATGTTTCATATGTTCTAGACAGATTTTCATCCAATATAGTGAAAACATCTTAGGTGCCATCTTTTCCTCCGACCATGACTTTCCTCCTGGTGTAGCAGATAAGCCAAATGGGTCAGATTAGCTGTTTGCTTGGACTCTTCAAAGGGCTGAACAATGGCTGAGGAGCCCAGATCTGTGTATGTTAGTGAGGAGCTGGTTTTGTCTACTTTGTGACAGCCCACTTCTGAACTCTGTTCAGCCATGGATTTTGATTAAACTCGTCAACTGTTGTACTGCTACACTTTCCACTGAATAGATTATGTGTACATGGTTGAATTAGTGGAATATTTTTTGTTGGAACAGCTTTTGGAGTCATTTAAAACAGATATGGGTGATCATCTTGCGAGGCCAGGCTATTTCCACCCACTCATTTGCTGTGTTGAAGTTAGCCTCAGAACTGCTTATCATTATTTTAATTCTGAAATTTATTTTAATTGGGAAATATTGTAGTACAAGGGATATGGGATGATTTTGCTTTCTGGAGAAATCTTACTGGCTTTTGCACAATGAATATGAGTTTCTTAAAGGTAAGGATTGCTTTTTTTAAATTTCTGGGTCTCTAGCAAAACATTTCTGGCCCTTATGAAGTGCTTAGCAGGTATTTGTGGAATAGGGGATGATTGAATTCAAATGATGGCTCTCTTTTTTAAGAAGATATTTTAGAGTCTCCTAAATCAAACGTGTTTCATAATAGGTATAATCATAGGCAGGACCTTTGCTCAGAATATTTTTAGAATATTTTAGATGGAAAGAAAGTTTAAAAGTGCTTTTATTGTGTCTTTTTTCCACCACGAGGGAGAAAGCATCCACATTTATTTTGCTTCTCTTGAGATCAGTCTTGGAGATTCCTGGCCACTTTCCATGTCCATTTATAATTCACAGGCATTCAGTTTGTGGTTCTGTTGCTTAATTGATATACCGATCTCCATATAGCATAAGAAATGTTTGCTAAAGGTCACTAAATGTGTACAGATTGTGATTCTAATTAAAAATTTTTTCACTATTATATTTAGGAAGATGTTCATGTCTTCATTTGAATTTGCTAAATGATATAACAACATGAACTCAACCCCTCTTACCCACATTAACCTTCAAATAGAAGCATATTCTAAGTGTCTAAAATTTCCAGAACATGCAATGACAAGCATTGCTTAAGAGCAGCAAAAACTCTCTCCCAGCAGAATCTGTACAACACCTGGCACACAGCTGAGTGTTAGTAGTACACATGGTAACTCTGGGTTTTGCCTGCCTACTGTGGTTTCCTATCTTCTGTCTTCTGCAGAATTCTCATGGAGACTTGTGGGGTTGTTATTGTCATGAGACCTCATCCTCCCTATCACGGACAGGGGTGGGTCTGTGACCTGGAATGGCTGGGGCAAGTACGTCATCCCCCAACACAGGGCCTAGGTTAGGGACAGGGGCATGACTCAACATCTGGGGTCTGTGTCTGAGAAAGAAGCCATGAAGGACAAGCTGATGACATCCTTGCAACTACTGGATCTGTGTGCTTGAGGTCCACAAGAGGACTTCTCAGTCAAATGGAAAGCATAGTCGCTAAGTAAGTTTAAGCAAGTTTCAGTTGGATTTCTGTAACTTGCAACCAAAGAAGTTGTAATTCATGCAGTATTTCATTTGACAAGTTATGATATTAACCAGCCTGTCTTTAACCCCTTCCTTCTCTTAACATCGGGGGTTATAACATATGCTTATTTACACACTCACAATTTAAATGACTTATCTGAGTTCAAGACACAGTCTAGAAGCTCATGTCAAACAATTCTTTATTTCTTATGGTACAAATTAAAAGTGACAGATCTGAAGCTGTTAAGAAATACACAAAGTGCAGCTTTACTGACCATACAGATATTGCTCTAGATTAAGTACAGTTTCGTCATTTTTTTTTTTAATGTTAAGCAACCTGTGCAGATAAATCAGCTTTGGTTTCAATGTCAGAGCAAGTAAGGAGCTTTTAAATATCCAGTTTGGCTTCTTGGTCACAAGTCCACCATGTCAACTTCTCATCAAGATGATGTTTTCCGAAACAACCCCGTCTGCTTTCCTCCCTCCTTCCTGCTGCCTGCTCCAGGCGCGGAGAGGCGGCCGTCTCCGCGGTGCCCCATCAGTGACCCTGGTGACCAGTCTAGATCACAGCACATAGGACAAAAGAATCACTTTCTCAACAACAAAGAAACAAATGTGCCTCACATAATTTCAAGTTGAAGACAAGCAAATCACATGACAAAAAGCTCATTACAAAATGTTATCCAAACAGATTTTACAGTCAAACATTGAAATGAAAATCAATTTCCTTTTTCTTCATTTTTTAAGCTTGGTCATTAACTGGGTACAAGTAGAGTGCTGAGGTAAAACATTGATGAAAAGTTTGTATTTCTTCTTTTTTTTCTTAAAATAGGAACAGTTTAGTATTGCAAGATTGTCAGCAACATTTAGCCGTATCTATACAATGTGCATATACCTACAAATACTGAGCTTTGGTCCAGCGTAGAGAAGATGAGCAAAGGCATTTTACAATTTCTTTTTTGGTTATAGCTTGAGTTCTTTGATACGCCTCTACTTGTTGTTGTTTTTTTCCTAGCTCCTTTTGCTTTTTTGTTCTCTCTTTTGTGTGTGTGTGTGTGCGCGCGCACACGCGTGTGTGCGTATCATGTGATTACAACATAAAGAAATCAAAACCTTGCAATGCAACTGAAACTCTTCACTGTTCAAAATGTTTTTTGATTGGAAAAGAAAAAGAACCCCACAAACAAGTGTGAAATATAACATCAGTCATTTTCCTTTTTCATCAATTAAGAACTGTGAAGATTTTTCATCAACCAATTAAGATGATAATAATTTAAAAATAAGAAGAATATTGAAGCTTAAAATACAATCACATACACCCGAAGTGGTTTTTATTCTTTGTTCATGCCAACATTAACCTTCAGTTCATGGAAACATAAGAGACACTTAAATGCTACTGGCACATGAACTTGTTTACAAGAGGAAATAAGAAATGTCATAATAAAATTAAGCAATAGGTGAGGTCCCAAAGACTTACGAGTTATACAGTATAATTTATATTCCTAAGAGTTTTTTCAGGCACCTTTTATGCCTTGTAGCAAAAAATTTATCTGTAAAAAATTAATATAAGAAGCATTACAACACCTTATAAATAATTTATAAAACAATACAAAATTATAAAACTATAAAAAAAAGCACTGCACATGAATGGGTTTATGACTGTGGGGTGAGTATATTTCTTTTTTATTCCACTCCAGAAGATTACTTTTAGTTTATATTTTCCCTGCCCTAGTTATACCCTCCCAATTATAGATCTCCAAACTGAGCAGGCCTCATGTAACTGCTGCTGGCATATGTTTAAACATTTAGCATCCATCATCTGTTATCCTGTTCACTTCTCTTCTTGGGGAGTTTTCTTGATGGAATTTGGAGCAGGTCTTGGGAGAATACAAAATCTGTTTAATCAATACACTTTTTGGATTTCTGGGTTGTTGGTGTTTGCGCAGTTTTGAGGTGGTAAAGTGGGTGCCGTGATGTCGCTGGCATTGACAATCAAGTTAGCTGCGGTCCACTTAGCATCTGACTGGTGAAATGGAAACGCCTTTATAAGCCAGTGGTTCCACTTCCAGGGCTTCTTGTAGAGCCTCCTTACTGGTGGTCTCCTGATTGCTGCATGAATCATCTGGGAGGGAGGGGTAGGGTGGGGACGTCTCTCCCACTGCACTGACACAGCCAGCAAAGGGGCCAGCAGAGAAGTCAAACCCCACAGGGGTGGCAGTGTGTTAGGGGAAGAAGATGGCATTTCTACTCAGTGGGGCAACTTGAAGTGTTTTTTTCTTTCACAATTTATAGTGAAAGCATAATATGAGATAGTATGAGAGCATGGTTATTGATTCACTATGCAGAAATAGTTGCATTCTCTAGTTCTGAGAGTGCAGGCTATTCTGATGTGTCAGATAAGCCATTTGTATGTTGTTCCTTTTTAGTGGAGGCACTTCATTGCTAAAACTTCCTGTAGCCCCCAATTCCAATTGTTTAAATCTATCTTCCAACTGTCTGCTCCATTTATATATCCCCCAAACAAGTGCTCCTGCCTGAAAAAGGTCTGCCATTGCTACTGGAGTGAAAATAGTAGCAGAACAGGTGGGAGTCACAGGATGTATGATGGCCTTTAATGAACCAGTCACCATTCCTGTCTTTCTGGCCTGTTTCCTTTGTGTGTATATGTGGGTGCGTGCATGCTACGTGTGTATTTTGACTGAAATCTTGAGACGTGTCTTTGGCTATCAGACTTCTGAGAGAAATTGCTTTGCACAGAAGCATAACATAGATGAAAGTGTTGAACCAAATGTGCAGCTTATGTTTATATTACAAAATTAGTTTTGGTCAGCTCTCCATGTACGTGGCCAACAAACTGAGCAGAATCCCAAGCTCTGGTGTGGACAGTGAGGATAATTACAGCTTATGCCACTGTTGACAGTTCATCGAGCAAAGCCCTAGTTATTTTGGAGTCTCTCTCTCGAGAGATGGGGAAATGGAGTTAAAATGAGAAATGCAAGCTCCGTTCTTTCTTTTCTCAAACACACAAGTCATAGTGAGAAGAAAGCAATGAATGCTTTGGCACAAGATCCATGATGTTCCCCACCCCAACACAAAGCAAAAGAAGAAAAAAACCCCATCCCAAATAAAAATCAATAGTGAGACTCACAGAATGGCTTCAACAATGGCACCCACTTCTGACAGCAGATGGGAAAGATGGGAGAAATCAGACTTCCGACTTTTCCGCTAGGGACAAATGTAAAAATTCATAACACAACTTGACACGCAGAGAAGGGTAGACTAACCATTGCGTTTGCAATGCCACGTTTCTGACTTTGGTTAATAGGTTTCATAGTTAATCAGCACTTGGAACCTGAAAGAATGCAGTCTCTCCTCCAGGTGGCAGGCTTGTATTCGCTTTGAACAGATCAAAGTTTCTGTTGTTTTTTTTTTTGTTTGTTTTTTTGGTTTAGTTGTTTTTTTCTTTTTCCTTAAAATGTGTTCACATTTTCATCCTATACAGAAAAAGTACGTGGTTTTTTTGGTTTGCTTTAAGCCCATTAAAAAACTGGCTTTGGGGAGACAGGTCGGGGAGGGAACTAGCCTACCACACCCCCAAGGTGTAGTGTATTCTTTGTTTAAAAATGTTCAAAAAATTTTTTTGTTTTCTTTTTGGGAAACCACCGGATATGTATAAACCATTCTGTCCACTTGGTAGTTTGTTTAGTCTTTTACTTACAAACGTGATGGTCGGGGTGGTTTTTAAGTTTGATTTTTAATTTCTTCTTCTTCTTTTTCAAGGAGTCCCAAGGGCGGAGTTAGGTTTCTGTGGGTTTTGCTCCTGACCCAGGAAGGGCGTCTCTTTAGGAGTTTTCTTCCAGAGAGTCTGTTAAGGGCTCCAGAGGGACTGACGAGGCGGGCTCGTGTTGTTTTAAGCGTTTAATTGTGTTCTTCAGGGCTTGCCTCTTATTGCAGAACCAAACTCTAACTACTTCCCGGTCATAGTTCAGCTTCTCAGCAATTTCGGTCATTTCCTGCCCAGAGGGATGTGTGTTCTTCTCAAAGTGGGCATTGAGGATCTCAAGGGCCTGGGGCGTGAAGGAGGTGCGCCTCTTGCGCTTTTTGGACGGTTCGCTCCCAATAAACTCGGTCAGGTTCTGCATACCGGCTCGATGGCGGGCCTCAGCCTCAGCCATCCACCGCTCAAGCACCGGCTTGATCTTCTGGGCACTTTTAGGAGTGATGTCCAGCTTTTCAAACCTGGCAGGATACAAAAGGCCAGGGTTCAGTTTGGCTGTCAGACTGCTAGCTAGAGTGTTCTCTTGGGCTTCCTGTGGTAGGAAAAAGTGGCTTCTCAGGATGGTGTGTCTGGGGGGAAAATTGAGAAAGAACAGTCTTACACTGAGTCCTCTGCCAGGGTGGGCCTCCTGCCTGCCTACCTGACTGACTGGCAGAGCGAATTCTCTCCAGATTGACAGCCAGCTGCAAGATAGCCACCCGTGCTCAGGCCAGCGCCTGCCCCGCATGCTTCATGCCCATGCATGCAGCCTGCACATGCACACAAGGAGGGTGGACAGAGGTGGAGACGGCAGACACACAAGCACCAGGATGGAAACAAAACCAACTCTTTTTCCTGCAAACCCCTGGGATCTAAGCTTTTATATTAATCGTACCAACAACATTTCCCCAATCTTCAGAATCCTCAAGGCAAAAATTAACACCAGGAAGTGACATCAAAGACAACAACAGCTTGTCATATTCTTTCATTTAAAATGATCCTTTTTATGCTTTACATTTTATTTTCTTTAAATTCCTCCCATTCACCTGGTTATGAAAATGTTACATCTATTGTAAGAGTCAGTGATGGCAACTGGAACAAATTTCTTTTATGGCTCTTTTCATCTCTGTTTTGTGTCTCGTTTTAATTTCTCTCTCTTTCTCTGGTAACAAACAATTTTCACCATATGTAAGTTAACAACATGCCCCCTTTTCAGGTAAAGCATAGCCCATGGCTGTTTTACTTTTGGACTCAAACAGCTGGACACATTGTAACTGCCATGAACACTCCCCTCCCCGGATGGGCTAAGGCCACCTCATGCCTTCCAAATGCTGTCTGCTGTAATGGTGTACTTTTGCACCCGGGCACCAAGCTGAGTTTAATGTGCGATATCTGTAAACTGTACTTGAATGATATCATTTTCTGTAAATGAGGTCTTCTATATATCAATTGCCATCAGCAATTCCTTGCTACACTGACTTTAAAAAGTATGAAGCATCTAGGACAAAATTGCATGGAGTGTTTTAAGAGGTCGTCTGGTAACAGGTCCATACTCACTATCAATGAAATTCACCAAGATACCCATTCCTTTTGTTTGTTTGTTTATTCTAAATCCAAATTCACAACCTTCTAGTATGACGACTTTGGATTCATATCTCTGTTGGATCGTCTTTGGATCCTCGATTTTAAAGTGTTGAATGCATTTGAAAAACAACCATCTGACTGCAGAGTGCATCTTATTACAATGGTCTGTGCTCACAGAGCTAAAGTGAACCTGCTTTAGTCAGTCAGAGCATGTTTTGTAAGGATGCTCGCAAAGGGACACAAAAGGATAGGCTTCTTTTATGTGCCGTAATCTTACCATGGGCACTGCATTTTAGATATTGTGATAAGCAGAGCAAGTGGTATCAGATTTTAAAGTGATTCCTGTAGCATTCCCTTCCACATATAGTTCAAGGAGTTGTTTGTTTTAAAAAAGGACCCCAATTTCCAGCAATGGTCAAAGAAAGAAAAACATTTTGCTTTCAATACAAAAAGGAACCAATCATTTAGTGTCATTTAATGAGCTCCTGGCTTGTGGCAAGGTCCCCCAAAGCTTCATTGTCACGTTACTTTGTCACATTATTTTTACCATCATTCACCATAAAAGCCACCATAACAATCCCAAAGCTTAAACTCTTGATGGCATGATAACAGGCTTTACAGTGTCATGGCATGGGGGACAAAGCTTGTAATAGGGATGTCCAGGGTATTGGTGGTGTTTTTTCCTCTGTGTCTCTGATAAGGAGGGACTTTTCCAAGCAGCACCTGTAGTCACTGCAGCTAATAAGGGAGCAGTGATGGCTCAGTGCACAGGCTCAAATGCACAGTCTCTCCAACCCTTTAAATTAACTTGAATTGTCCCAAAGTCAGAACACATTCTCTTTCAAGACTTTGATTTTTTTTCCTTGGTAGTTAGCTTCTGAAACTACTTCACTGAAACACTAGAGGCTAGAGAAAGGCACAAAGTCAAGGTGTCTGACATATTCTGTTAAATGATGAATTCCTGGGGTCTCTTACAGATCAAAGTTTCTGTTGTTTTTTTTTTTGTTTGTTTTTTTGGTTTAGTTGTTTTTTTCTTTTTCCTTAAAATGTGTTCACATTTTCATCCTATACAGAAAAAGTACGTGGTTTTTTTGGTTTGCTTTAAGCCCATTAAAAAACTGGCTTTGGGGAGACAGGTAGGGGAGGGAACTAGCCTACCACACCCCCAAGGTGTAGTGTATTCTTTGTTTAAAAATGTTCAAAAAATTTTTTTGTTTTCTTTTTGGGAAACCACCGGATATGTATAAACCATTCTGTCCACTTGGTAGTTTGTTTAGTCTTTTACTTACAAACGTGATGGTCGGGGTGGTTTTTAAGTTTGATTTTTAATTTCTTCTTCTTCTTTTTCAAGGAGTCCCAAGGGCGGAGTTAGGTTTCTGTGGGTTTTGCTCCTGACCCAGGAAGGGCGTCTCTTTAGGAGTTTTCTTCCAGAGAGTCTGTTAAGGGCTCCAGAGGGACTGACGAGGCGGGCTCGTGTTGTTTTAAGCGTTTAATTGTGTTCTTCAGGGCTTGCCTCTTATTGCAGAACCAAACTCTAACTACTTCCCGGTCATAGTTCAGCTTCTCAGCAATTTCGGTCATTTCCTGCCCAGAGGGATGTGTGTTCTTCTCAAAGTGGGCATTGAGGATCTCAAGGGCCTGGGGCGTGAAGGAGGTGCGCCTCTTGCGCTTTTTGGACGGTTCGCTCCCAATAAACTCGGTCAGGTTCTGCATACCGGCTCGATGGCGGGCCTCAGCCTCAGCCATCCACCGCTCAAGCACCGGCTTGATCTTCTGGGCACTTTTAGGAGTGATGTCCAGCTTTTCAAACCTGGCAGGATACAAAAGGCCAGGGTTCAGTTTGGCTGTCAGACTGCTAGCTAGAGTGTTCTCTTGGGCTTCCTGTGGTAGGAAAAAGTGGCTTCTCAGGATGGTGTGTCTGGGGGGAAAATTGAGAAAGAACAGTCTTACACTGAGTCCTCTGCCAGGGTGGGCCTCCTGCCTGCCTACCTGACTGACTGGCAGAGCGAATTCTCTCCAGATTGACAGCCAGCTGCAAGATAGCCACCCGTGCTCAGGCCAGCGCCCGCCCCGCATGCTTCATGCCCATGCATGCAGCCTGCACATGCACACAAGGAGGGTGGACAGAGGTGGAGACGGCAGACACACAAGCACCAGGATGGAAACAAAACCAACTCTTTTTCCTGCAAACCCCTGGGATCTAAGCTTTTATATTAATCGTACCAACAACATTTCCCCAATCTTCAGAATCCTCAAGGCAAAAATTAACACCAGGAAGTGACATCAAAGACAACAACAGCTTGTCATATTCTTTCATTTAAAATGATCCTTTTTATGCTTTACATTTTATTTTCTTTAAATTCCTCCCATTCACCTGGTTATGAAAATGTTACATCTATTGTAAGAGTCAGTGATGGCAACTGGAACAAATTTCTTTTATGGCTCTTTTCATCTCTGTTTTGTGTCTCGTTTTAATTTCTCTCTCTTTCTCTGGTAACAAACAATTTTCACCATATGTAAGTTAACAACATGCCCCCTTTTCAGGTAAAGCATAGCCCATGGCTGTTTTACTGTTGGACTCAAACAGCTGGACACATTGTAACTGCCATGAACACTCCCCTCCCCGGATGGGCTAAGGCCACCTCATGCCTTCCAAATGCTGTCTGCTGTAATGGTGTACTTTTGCACCCGGGCACCAAGCTGAGTTTAATGTGCGATATCTGTAAACTGTACTTGAATGATATCATTTTCTGTAAATGAGGTCTTCTATATATCAATTGCCATCAGCAATTCCTTGCTACACTGACTTTAAAAAGTATGAAGCATCTAGGACAAAATTGCATGGAGTGTTTTAAGAGGTCGTCTGGTAACAGGTCCATACTCACTATCAATGAAATTCACCAAGATACCCATTCCTTTTGTTTGTTTGTTTATTCTAAATCCAAATTCACAACCTTCTAGTATGACGACTTTGGATTCATATCTCTGTTGGATCGTCTTTGGATCCTCGATTTTAAAGTGTTGAATGCATTTGAAAAACAACCATCTGACTGCAGAGTGCATCTTATTACAATGGTCTGTGCTCACAGAGCTAAAGTGAACCTGCTTTAGTCAGTCAGAGCATGTTTTGTAAGGATGCTCGCAAAGGGACACAAAAGGATAGGCTTCTTTTATGTGCCGTAATCTTACCATGGGCACTGCATTTTAGATATTGTGATAAGCAGAGCAAGTGGTATCAGATTTTAAAGTGATTCCTGTAGCATTCCCTTCCACATATAGTTCAAGGAGTTGTTTGTTTTAAAAAAGGACCCCAATTTCCAGCAATGGTCAAAGAAAGAAAAACATTTTGCTTTCAATACAAAAAGGAACCAATCATTTAGTGTCATTTAATGAGCTCCTGGCTTGTGGCAAGGTCCCCCAAAGCTTCATTGTCACGTTACTTTGTCACATTATTTTTACCATCATTCACCATAAAAGCCACCATAACAATCCCAAAGCTTAAACTCTTGATGGCATGATAACAGGCTTTACAGTGTCATGGCATGGGGGACAAAGCTTGTAATAGGGATGTCCAGGGTATTGGTGGTGTTTTTTCCTCTGTGTCTCTGATAAGGAGGGACTTTTCCAAGCAGCACCTGTAGTCACTGCAGCTAATAAGGGAGCAGTGATGGCTCAGTGCACAGGCTCAAATGCACAGTCTCTCCAACCCTTTAAATTAACTTGAATTGTCCCAAAGTCAGATCACATTCTCTTTCAAGACTTTGATTTTTTTTCCTTGGTAGTTAGCTTCTGAAACTACTTCACTGAAACACTAGAGGCTAGAGAAAGGCACAAAGTCAAGGTGTCTGACATATTCTGTTAAATGATGAATTCCTGGGGTCTCTTTTCATTTCAGCCAGAGCTTTTTATGGCATCCCTTGGAGAAGACTTTAGAAATCAGCATAGTTGATTGGGAATGCCCAAGAAACACAATGTGTGTTGGGGAAAACATTAGGTTACACTCAAAGGGCGGATAAAAGGAAATCACATTTTAGGGCTAAAAATAAGCCTAAGAGGATGTTGGCAACAATAACAACAAATTGGCAACAGCTTAAAAACCTGTGGCTGCCTTTATCACAGAGCTGTCAAGATGAAACAAAATTAATGTTTCCCAACAGGGAGCAACAGTATTCATATCACTGATGCGGTTTGTTAGTGTTGATATTTCTGTACATGTCGTTTGGAATAACATATACAAGCCTTGAAACAAATTTCCCAGCAGTAGTATCCTTGTGTGGACTGAATAAAGGTTATTTTCTACAGGGAGGTATCTTATAAGAAAAAACAGTAGGGGAGGCCATAGAAGTGAGAGGATCCTATGGCGCTTTTTGTATTTAACAACAATCAATGGGTTTTATGGAAAATCATTGAGCAAAATGTGAGCTGCAAGCTACTACCCCATACTGATGTTATTTATAACCTTAGTCTTAAACTGCAGGAAAAGTACACTTCCGTCCTTTGGGGAATACATTAAAAGTATAAAGAGCAGAAAAAAAAAGACAGCATTTCATGGATCACCAAGAACAAAATCCACTTAAATGAGTTTAGAGTTGGTTTCTTGGCTTTTCCTGATGGAGGAGGACGCAGAAGGCATCGCCCAAGAGGAAAAAGCTCTTACCAAAGCACCTTTGTTACCTCATGCATAAACATGGGATTAGAACACCACACACATGCATGCGCGGGGTCTGCTTCTGGAGGCTTGACCCAGATCAACTTGAGCACAACCAAGGCTGGATTCTGTCATTTATTTTTTTAATTTGAGGGGATGGCAGGTAGGCCAGGTTCTCACTGCCCTTTTCTGAGCCATGTAAAGCAGCTCCTTCTTTTGAAAGTGTGCTTTGAAAGTTGTGTCTGGGAAGGTGAGCGGAAACATTCCTTTGAGGTCACTAGGTGGTTAATTCTCTTTTTAAGGTGTGTTTTCTTGGAAAAATCTTGAAAGCCATACCTGGGCAGAAATAGTGGGATTGTTACCACCAATTGGACTGCCAAGTTTACAACATTTGCTAGGATCTCCATCTGCAGACAGGAGCCAATGGCTCTCAGCTGCCCAGGAGGATGGGTCCAGAAGGAGGCATCTGGCCCAGGGTGCTTTATCTCCAATGAGACCGCCTTGGAAGTTCTTGTGAGTTGACAAGAGTCACCGAGCCAGGACCCCAAACCTGCTTTAGCCCCTTCATTCCCATCAATACCACCCATTCCAACATATAGCTACTCCAAACTTTGTTCCCACTCTCCACCCCTCCAGCTTTGCCCACCCGATGAAGAAAAGCTGAGCTGCAAGGACAAATGAGGCTCAGTCTGGTGACAGCATGAGGGCACGGGTTACCTGCAGATGGCAGACTGGCTGTACGCGGGGCCCTCTGTAGCACTGAGGGCCTGTCCCACCTGAGTCTGCGTCAGGCCAAGGGACAGGCGCCGGATTTTAAAAGCTTTGGCAAATTCTCGGATCTCCTCCAGATTTACCCCATCCACCTCACCCGCTGCCGTTTGAGGATCTGTGGAGATGTTTTTAAAAACAGGATCAATATGTCAACACACATCCAAGCAATATCTGTTCATGAGGGCTTCTAAGAAAGTGGCTCTCTTTAATAGCAGAGTCGTGGGGAAACCAACACTGCAGAATGTTCTCTCTTGGGGCAAGGCTCCCCAGCTCCCCTCCTCAGCTCCTCACATCTCTGCAAATCATCCTTCGAGATACTTCCATCCCAGATAAGAAGACAGGTGGCTCACGCTGCCATTTCCACAATACAAGAGTGTGTTCCTTAGGACTTACCAAATGACAGCCAGTGCTGGGAGGCACTAGCTGTGGGGGATGCAGCTCCATTTTGCCCGTAAATATGTTCAGATACTGTGCAAAAATATAAAACTGGAAAGGCTTAAACTGGAAATGTTTTAATTGGACTCTGGAGTGCTAAAAATTGTCCTTGAAAAAACACGATTTTGTGTTTTCCCTTCACCTGAGCACCACTGCAGCCAGGCTAACAGATGGTAATGTTGCTTAATTTCTTAGGTTCACATTAGCCCCTCAGAAGATCATGCTTATGAAGCTGTGAGAATAATACTGTCTATTTTTCCCCAAGAGCAGTTTACTGACATGACGCTTTTGTCCCCTGAAAGGGCACGTAATACAAAATGCCGACCACAGGGAGGCTCCTTTGGTGCCAGATAATGCCGTCAATTTAGGACTTATCAAGGGAAATGACACAAGGGCTGGAGAATGAAACTTCCCCCACCCTGGCTTCTGATCCCTGGATGAATGAGAGCGCACACCCAGCTGGAGACAGCGTGGTCTGGGGACGACAGAAGGTTTCAAAGTGCTGCTAGATTCTGCCTGGTGAGAAGCCCTTCTCCCCGAGTGCTGATGCCATTGTTCTTCACCTCGTTCCTCGGACTTCGGGGAAAAGTTTTTCTCTTCCTCTTTCTGTTCACTAGCCCATCAATTTCAGTGTATTTGAGTACTTGCCTAAGGACTGGTGGGCTGTATTAGTCTTCCAGCTTCAGGGTTATGGAAACTCTGTTATCATGAAATAAACCTTTGCATCTTAAGAGCCAAGTTTTCAAGGACTTTTAAATAAGGATTTTAATATCTGGAGTGGGGGGGAGGTTTGGAGGCTCATGTATAGATTATCTCATAACAGGGAAATGGACTCTGTCAACAGAACAAAGCAATACAGGTGTACACTGTATCTTTACCATCACATTGTAGATTTTTACATGTTATTAGTCGTAACTTGATTGAGGAATGATTGAAAAGGGGTTCAACCATTGTGATCAGTCTGTAATTATTTCTTAACTGACTTCTGGGAGTCCTAATGAGTGGAGAGAGAGGGCAAGAGCAGTAGAAGAGACAGTTCCAGCCTCTCTGGGGGTTCATAGTCTGTAGGGGGTTGGGGCTCAGTATTGAATGAGAAATAATTAGAGAAAAATACCAGGCTGAGTACAATCAAGAACTGATGGTGTGACACCCACATGGGAATTTACAGAGAAGGGACAGGGGGCAGGAGGGAGGGTTCACTGGGTCTTACCCTGGGGGCAGCTTTCTGAGAATGGAGGTGCCCATCTGCTAGGGTTTCAGTAGGGTCGAGTGGGGAGTTCCTGCTGGGAGAGGTGAATATTTCAGTGTTGGACATTGAAGATCTACATATGTTCATGGACAGGGGTGACTGTAAAACTGTTCTGGCTCTTAAGATCACTTAAAATCCTGCCTTTCTTCCCCAAATTCCCCCAGAAGGCTGGCAACACTGGTTAGTGCAAGACTTGTTTGGGTTGTCCCTGGCGGAGGCTGCCCTTAGATCTTAAATCCCGTATCACAGCTGCAGTCTGGAGCAGCTTCGAGAGTTCTGGGAAGTCACATCCAGGCACAGAGCAGCCTTGAGCCTCTTCTCTCATTTCTTTATTTACAAATTTCTAGAGCAGAAGTTGCAAAAGAGCAGCTTGCAAATAAAACTCGGCTTTCCTAGTGTGCACAAGTTTTTGGAATTACTTGTCAACATTTAAACACTGGGAGATTTCTAAAGAAAAATCTAGGTTTGTCATATTGTTTTGAAAAGAGAAGTTAGAAGATTTGGCTGCACCAGGTCTACATTTGCCCCTGGGAATAAGAAGTCAGCTGGAACCGATTCTGGCTGCCCCTTTAGCTCCTCGTCGTCCTCGCCTCTAATCCTTTAGTTCTTTAGACCTGCTGCATTGCTGAGCCTGTTTTGTGACCCTGCATTTAGCACATGCATTCCAAGGGGGTGGAATTGGTTCTGTGGTGGTGGTGGGGAAGGTGGAGAGTCTTGGATGGCAGATGTACATAAGCAGAGCAGATGCATGGTGTGGGATGCACGTAATGTTTCCCGAGGGAAGGAGGGCAACTAGGACAGAAAAGTATAAAGGAGCTCCTGGTGGCGTAGGAGGTGATAGTAAAGGCATAGTTGGGAAGCTCTGGTTTATAACAGGGAGGGCCACTTGGCACAGAATGGCACAAGGGAGAAGGGAGAGGGGCTTGGCATCGTTGTAAGCATGCACAGCAGAGGTTCAAAACTTAGTGTGAAAAAATGGAAGCTGGAGACTTTCCTCGTAACAACATGACTTTTAGGACCATGGTTTTCTTAATTCATCAGGTCTAGGGACATGAGCCAGGGGAACATAGGCCAGGTCTTTGCATGGAGCCTGGGGGTGTGCATTTTTCACAAGTATACTACAGGCAATTCTGATGCAGGGGATCCACTGAGCCTACAGACAGAGGCTCTATGGCTCTTCTCTGTGCCTCTGGCCTGATCCAGCAGATGTGGCATCCACTGCATGCTGCTGCCTTCTTTCTGCTGTTTGTCATCATTATTCAACAGGTTCCACTACACAGAAAAACATGTTCTACCACCTCGGACTGGTGGCCAGAAAGGCCCCATGGTGGGGCTCTTGGGAAGACGCCCCATCCCAGCCCTTCCCCAACTCACAGTACCATCATTTAGAGTAAGTGGCAGACATCTGGGGTCAGCAGGCTGGGGTTGTCAGTGTAATCTGGAGTTGGGGAGAGTGTTTTTCTGAGCAAGGCTAAGTATCCC